AGCAAAGAGAGTGATAAGAAGAGGCCAGAAAACCTTTCAAGAGTACACCTCCAATGATCTAACTTCCTTCCATAAAGCTCCATCTCCTGAAGATTCTCCTTCCAAAAGAACCACAGACTGTAAGCTAAGCCTTCAACACATGGACCTTTGGAGGATCTTCATCCAAAGCACTGGCACTCAGGCATTGCATTTGTTACTTTGTACTATAACTATTATTTTACTTTTTTTTTGTCTCCTAGCTGGAAGTTCCTTGAAGGTACCAACTATGTCTCATTCATCTTTATGCATAGGACAAGGCTGAACACAGAGGATATGACTAATTAAGTGCATAATACAAAGGGTGATAAAAAACCATGCCCCTTTCCAACTTAAAAATGTATTACAGTAAAAGGTACATTGCCATTAGAGCCCCTAAAAATTCTCCTCTTCCCTTGGAACACACAATGGGATATATTGTTCTTGCTACTTTGGGAATCAGTATCTTTACAAAATATAATTAAAAATATGGTGAATATTTTCACACCCCATATCATTTCACAGGGGAAGAAATACAAGTGCCCCACAAATATATTAAAAAATGTTCAACATCTCTGGCACTGGAGAAATTCAAATTAAAACATCACTAAGATTCTATCTTACTCCAGAAAGAATGGCAATCATCTAGAGACAAAAAATCTAACAAATGCTGGTGACGCTTTGGTTAAAAAGGAACCCTCCTACATTGTTGGTGGGGATGTAAACTAGTACAACCATTACGGAAATCAGTATGGGGATTTCTCAAAGAACTAAAATTAGAAATGTCATATGCCTCAGCTATCACTCTTCTAGGGATGTTCCCTAAAGAGCTAAAGACATCATGCAGGCACTCTCATATTTATTTATTTTTTTTGGTACCAGGGATCGAACTTGGGTCCTTGGGATACTCATATCTGTAACACCACAACTCTTAATAGCTAAATCCTGGAAGCAGCCTGTATGCCCATTAATAGATGACTGGATAAAGAAAATGTGGTATTTATACAAAATGGCATACTACTCGCCTATAAAGAAGGACAAATTTGAGACATCTGTAGGAAAATGAATGCACCTGAAAAATATGACATTGCGTGAAATAAACCAGACACATGAGCTTCAATACAATACGATATCTCTCATTTGAGTGAGGCAAAGTACAAAGAGATTAATTAAAGATGGAGAGAAGCAGACAAGGGGCTGGATCTCTTGCAAATGGGAAGAGGTTCAAGAGACTAAGGGCCAGGGGGAGGGGCAGGGGAAGGAGAAATAAGTAGAATAAAGACAGGCCATGTATGGGGCCCTGATAATGTCAATGAGTGTAAGACGTTATACACCATGAACATGGGCCAAGATTCCTAATGTCAACAAGAATGAAAATGGGGAAAGGGAAATTAGAGGAGGAGGGAGGAGGAGAGAAAGGGAAGGGGATTGAAAAAAAAGAAGCCAGCTGTATCATGTATATATAATCACTCCCCAAGATAAGTGTAAACTGCATGCACCACAAACATGTACTAACAAAAATGTGAAAAAAGGTGAATACTGCTGTCAAGTGCCATCCAACAGAAAAGCAGGCTCATAAAAACATTACCATGTATCTTCATCCAACTCATTCATTGGATCTGACCCATGACCATGAAAGGTAAATGTTTTCAATCATTCAAAACACCAAGGTAGCCATAAAAGCCCAACTAAAAATACTCACAAGAGGACTTCTACAACAGCTTCAGAAAGAGGCAAGAATGATGGGATAAGTGTGTTCAAAGTGATGGGAATTAATGGCAATGTGTCATTTACTGTAATGAATTTTTATTTAAGCACACACTGTAGTTTTTGACCACACTTTATAACTGGATGACTGAGTATAGCTGGGCCAGGGACTTAAGTCCGAACTCCGTTTATTACAATAAATTAGTCACAGGTTAATTTAGTTTTAGTGTTTAATCTAGGCCAGAGGTGGGAAAGTAAATGGAAAGAAAAGGCCAGTGTTACATACAATGGAATAATAAGCTGATTTCAACAGTTTACCCAAATTCTGAATAATTTAAAGAGCAAAATAGAAGATGGATAATAGGAAACAGGGAGACAGATCTTTTGTAAATTGGAAGCAGACCAGGAGTCCACATGGAGGGAGGAGGGTAACCTAGGAGGGAAAGGGGACGTAAAGAGAATCAAGGTGTGCTACGTACGTACATGTACCAACTCCTCACAATGAATGTAATCATTATGTACTGTAAACATGTAATAATAAAATTTTAAGATGTATCAATAAAAATCTACGAAAGATAGTCTTACAAGCAAGTACATTAACTGGCTTTTCAGTCCAGTTACTTTGGTTTGAGGATTCTCTACAAGACTGTAGTAACTTCTTTTATAGCTTTCAAGCCAGAACATTAGGAGCCACATTTTTCACATTCCGGCATTTGTGCTTAGTCAAGGAAAATCTTCACCTTGTGCAACAATGGAGAACAGGCTGGTGGGATTGTCCTCCTGCCTTGAGCAGATTTCTACGTCTGTTTTTCAGATTTTAATTACTGCCAATTTTGAGGAACAATTCCATTCCCCAAGCCTCTGCCTGTCAAGAATTCAACAAGCCCTGAATTTAAACAAGTCAACTATTTTCTTACTGGATCCTATGAAGGGACCCAACTTTTTAAAAAATGGGTAACTCTCACCGTTCCTTTCCAGTCACGTCAAAGGGCTAACCCTCTCTGCTCATCCTGGGCTGCTCTGTAAGCTAACCATGTTTTTCCCTCTAAAGCTATTACTATTTCAGAAAGAACATCCTTATTCTTTTGATTGAAACATCATAAACTAAAGCCTGTTCATTTTCCAAATATGGTGGGGTTTGTGGTAAGATAACATTAAGGTCAACATTTGCATACAGATATACATTCTTCGGGAGACTAAATTATAACTCTTTATACTACATCCGTTGGTCTTTTGTACATTAAGCCTACAGAACTGTTGCAAGTCCTATTTTACATATCTGCTTTTCTATGGGCAAACAAATTGATATATAGGACTTTTTCATTCAGGCAATCATTGAAGCAGATGTTGCCTCTGCCATGTACAATGACAGACATTTTATGGAGAGATTGCTCTAGGACAGGAATACAAGTCATATCCTTGTTGCTTAACGACAAGGATATTTTCTGAGAAATGCATCCTTAGACAACTTCATGGTTGTAAAAACATCAAAATGTACTTTAAAAAACTTATATCCTATATAAAAAACCTATATAAAGCCTACTATAGCCCTGGACTATGTTGTACTATCTACTGCTCCTAGGATACAACCTGAACAGCATATTACTGTACTGAGCACTATAAACAACTGCAAACAGTGGTATTTGTGTATCTAAACAAGAAAAGTACAATATGGTACATTATCTGCTTCAATGATTGCCTGGGTGAGAAAATCCAATATATTGACTGCTTGTCCATAAAAAAGAAATATAAATTAGGATTCATGACAACTTTGTTGTTTTGATGGAACAGGACGAACTAGTGTGGTATAAAAATGGTGCTCCTCTTTACCTGGAGGGATATCTTGCAGAACTAGACATTTCTTCTAGGTGAGTCAGTGAGTGTGTGGTGAATGAATGTGAAGGCCTAGGGCATTACACTGCTATAAATTTTAAAAGCTCTGTACACTTAAGCTACACAAAATTTACAGAGAACCATTTTTTTCCTTCACAAGAAATTAACATTAGATTAGTGTAACTTTTTAGTTATGAAAATGTTGAACCTTTTGACTTATTTGTAATAAAACACACACACACTATACAGAAGAATGAAATGATTTTCTTTATATCCTTTTCTATAAATTTAATGTTTTCTGGTGCTGGGGATTGAGCCACAGGCACATTTAAAAATTTTATTTTCCACTTTTGGAACTTGTTTTTGTTAATAACCATGACACAGACACATTGTGATAGGTGATTGTGTCAATTTGAATAAATAACACCCAACTAAATTGGCTCAGCATAGTTCTGGGTGTGGAAGACTCACCCTAGGGGAGATTGTCTCCAGAGTGCTATAAAAAGGAAATGAAGAAGGAAGGATTGCTTCTGCTCAGAGGAGCTCCAGTCTTCGCCTTCATCTTGGACATCCTCTCCTGACTTGCAGCACAAACTCTTCAGCTTCCAGTCCTGACCCTTCAGCCTTCCATCACAGACCCTTTGACCTTCTGATGCAGACTCACACTGGACACTACACAGAGCTTCAGGCCTTTACTGGATCCTTCAGATCCCCAGTGCACAGATGGACTTTTTACACTCTTCTGCACTTGGCTCGGTGGAGAGCCACTGTAAGGCAATCTTGTAAATTTTTATATATTTGTGTATCTTGTATGAAATCTGTTTCTCTAGTAAGTACTGACTGATACACACACATTAATATAGACCCACAGCAGGTCAAGAACATCAACATCACTGTCTTCCTCCTCCACATCTTGTTCCAAGGCCTTCAGCGGCTACAGATGCAGAAGGCTGTATCTCCTAGAGGACCAATGTTTTCTACTGGAACACCTGAAGAAGCTGCCTGAGGTGGTTTTACAGTTAACTGTTTTGGGGATATAAGCAGAAGGATACTTTCTAAAACAATGATAAATTAAGGGTGCACGGGTAATGGGGGAAAAAAAACAAATAAGATACATCACGTTCAGGTACAAACACCCAATGATAAATGTAAATATATTGTATACCTAAAATGTACCGATTAATATATAAATAAAAAAATTAAGGAGACAATAAACTCCAAATATGGGAAGAAGACACAATGAAAAAAAAATAAAACAATGATTAAGTATTGCAAACACACATTCCAGTAATAGTTATTCACTATCGAGTCTTGTGGACTGTACGTACTTAGACATGCCCACAGACACCACCCACCACCAACACGTGAGTGATATGTTGTGCTATGATGCAATAATGCTCAGGATGTTGCTTGGCACTATGAGTGTCAGTCAGCTTCATTACAGTCTTATGGGACCACTACCATATATCCGATCTGTCTGATTCAAAGGTCATTAAGCAGTGTATGACTTATAAAAGCCTCCAAAACAGTTAAAGGCAACAGTGTTAAAGCTGGAAAGAGCTTATGGAATCTGCTACACCTGGGCCAGGACCAGAGGTAAATGGATGCAATGCTTTAAAAGCACCTGAGTACAAATTATGGTTTACTCTTTCTATAAATCTTGCTTTAAAATAGAACTTAATCTTCTAAACTTTCTTAAATTTCAATCGACAAGTGAATGATTAATAAATGATTTAGTATTTAGAACTTGGAGATATAACTGGTTGCTCTACGCATTTCACTGGCAGGAAGTCTCTTTGGAATTGGGGCAGAGGGTGAGGAGGAACCACAGAGCTACTGGCCCTGCTGCTAAGGACATTTCCCTAGGAGCAGTTAAACACTCAAAGAGCTGAAACCACCAGTGGAACTAATGTATTGCTGTAGGTTTTTATGTAATTATGGCTAAAGTATTATAATGTTTTTAAAAGCTCTCCTTAGCACTGATTGATTTTGTGACTTCAATTTTCATAAAATCCATTACAGCAGAGTGGTGAAGAGCACTAGGCTCTGAAATCAGACTGGCTCAGTAGACATCTTATCTCTGGATCCAGCCATAAGACTTGCAACAAATTTCATTAACCTCTGACCTCAACTTCTGTGGTTGTGAAATGGAATAAAAACGGTAACTTCTACGCATATGAGGTGTGATCAAAATATACGGTGAACAGTTAACATTTAAAAAAATTTATTACAGTAAAACACCCATTGCCATTAATCTCTTTCAGAGTACTTCCTCTCACTTTGAATACACTGATCTCATCATTCTTGATACTTTCTGAAGCAGTTCTGGAAGTCTTCCTGCATGAGTGTCTTTAGGAGGTGCAATAAAATATATGGTGAGTGCTGCTGTCAAGTGCCATCCAATAGAAAGACAGGCTCGTAAAAACATTGTGCTGTGTCCTCTTCTATTTTATTCACTCTATCTGGCACGATGTGACTTCTGGCTCTTCCCCAAAGTCATAATGATCACAAGAGGTAAATGTTTCAAATTGACTCAGAACATCGAAGCCAGGACAATGCAACTAAAGACATCCATGAAGGAGGATCTCCAGAACTGCTGGGACAAGTGCAGGGGAAGAAAGGGGGACTATTTTGAGGAGGTTCACGGCAATGCGTCTTGTACTATAATTTAAAAAAATTAAACATTCACTGTACTTGTCAACTGCACCTTGTATTGTTTGAGGACTGAAGGAGTTAACAAATAGAAAGCCTCTTCCCAAACAGTATGCTTACATAACAAGCACACAGTAGATTTTGGTATTTTGTTACTATTATTATTACCATGTTTAAGAAGTACCTTAAGAATTACCATCATTTAATGGTCTATGTTTCCTTAGAACAGTAGAATAAAGCATCTGATCTTCACAGAATATTGACATTCCCAAAGTTGCAACCATGGTTTAGAAGATAAAATGGGAATGAATTTTTTTTTCCTGGTTGCTTTTCTGACAACTGGGATGCTTCTGAAACTCTAGACAACATAAATTAACTTTAAAAGATTATTCACTGGAAGAAACAACATCAGTTCTGCTTGGGGAAAGTTAAAGGATAAATGTCTCATTTCTGTCTTGCAGTGAATTGTCAGCTCTCTGAGTGGCCACCAGACTGAATCCCAAAATGGCAAACATCCCCCCACTTCAGCTCTTGCTTGTAGCCCATAATCAAGTTTACATAAACAGAAAGGTGAGATTTTTCTCATCTTCTGAAACCAATTTTAATTCTGAGAGAGGCTGGCAAACATATCCTGGCCCACGAAACTTCTCTCCAACATTAAATTCTATTTGGTTGCTGGGGCAGTCCCTTTTCTGTCCTTCATCCAGACTCCAGTGCCTTAGACAGTTTCATTAAGTCAGTGATGGCAATTTAATAGAAAAAACACCAAAATGAAATTTCAAAGACCCATCCCAAGTACTGATTAGATTGCTCACTGCTTGGCTTTGGGCAAGTCCCTTACACTTCAATGTGCCTCATATGAAAACTGACATTAATAATGCCTAAGTCAAGTATTATTTTGAAAAGTAACATAACATGTATGTAGATGCATTCTATAAACTGTAAAGCATAACACAATCAAGCAAAATGCTAACCCCAATTCTTATCTTTTATATCCTTTTTGTTAGTCTCCCAATCTGCCTGGGACCTCATCTTCCTAGCTGGGTCACCCCCAAGTTCCTCTCTGGACTGGACCTGTGGTTTTCAGAACTTCTAGGCTCTGTGCCATTTGGCAGAGTGCCTCAAGTGTCACAGATGCATTAATAATCCTGGTGTTAATATAACCTGCTTGTCTGCCCAGTAACAAGATCATGGAGCCCATCTGTCCCATTTTTCTAAAAACTTGGGCTCCTGTTTCCTAACAAACTGGCAACCTGTGACACTGCTTCGCAACCAGGAGGCACTCTTGTCCATACAGTTTATGCAAGTGAACCTCCACCAGGTGAATAGGAACTGTGGCTATTCTGAAAGATACACTCGAGAGAGACATGGAAGAGAGGACCCAAGTGGGTCCCAATCTGAACAAAGGTGATGGTAGTCACGCTATCTGCCGGGGGAAAGGGGAAGGAAGCCACCATTTAGGGAGTGTCTATTATACACAAGCTCTGTGCCCGGTGCCTCACAAAACAAAGAGTATATGTCATTTACTCACAGCCACACAGTGGGTGTGGGAATCCAGGTCTGCTGCAATGGATTTGCCTCTGAGGACACTGGGTGGTTTGAGGCACCATGAAGAGTTTCCAGTAAGGACTCGAGGACATCTCATTTCCGGTTCTTTCAGTGATCAGAGGGGATGGGAGTAGGCACTGGGACTTGTAAGCCAGACAATCACTATACACACCTCCTACCTGGGGGCTGTAAGGGACCATCGGGCAGAAGACAGCACATTACACTGCACTCTCTTCAGGGGTTCAAAGCACATGTTCTGGAAGGCCTTCCTTCTTCTGTCTGTCCATCTGTCCTTCCCTCACTCTCTTTACCCTTCCTTTTATGGCACTGACACATAAACTATAGGTGACGAAAACCCATTTACTTATCATGAAATTCATAAGGCCAAGACTGAGTATTTTGGTAAAAATAAAGATTGTGCAAGGCCTTCAGTCTAAATAAAGGTTACATATATAGTCCATAAGCTGTCATGGTGGTTAAAAGGAAAAAAACAAGAACAAAACCCTAAAACTTTAAGTTCCTCTAAATCAGATCCAAAGAGCAAGGAGTGCTAAATCCTGCCAAGAGAGAGACAACGCTTCTCTGCCCGCAACTGTTTCATCTCGGCACTCAAGGCTCTGCAAACCACTGTGTGGAAACATTTGACTCAGGGCAGCCCGTGAGAAGGAAGGAGGCAGGAGCGCCTTTGCAGCATGCGAGCTACAGTGAGCGTGGCCGGGGCTTGGTGACACCCAGTCCCTCCCTTCTCTGCCTCCCGGTCTTGGGAGTCAGTTAAGTGTTATAAACTCTTAATCACACCCTTGTTTTCCCAAATAAAGTGCAGCTAATAGACTCAATCATTTCTTTGTGCAGAAGGGCACTGCAGAGTCTCAGATTCGTGGTGGGCTGCCTGAGCCCACCAGGCTGTCTGTGTGGAGCTGTGCGGGCTGAGGGAGGCCCCTGGCACTCCTCCTTGTGAGCAGTGCCCCTGCTATGGCACAGACGACCAGCTCACTGCTGCCAGCTCCTCTCTCTGTAGGTCTCCGGGCTGCAGGGCCAGCAGGGGCAAAGGATACTGGGGTTGAGAAGAGACTGATAACACATGGACACTTTTCTCTCTAGCAGGAACGAGAAAATTCGAAGTTAGTTTTTCTTCTGGGTATTCTCCTGCTTCATCTGGACCTAATCCCACACTGTCAATTGCCTCTTGTTCCTCTCCTCCTCAACTCCCCAGGATTTCAGCTCTTCAAGTTTCCCTCTGGCTGCATACCTGCCTTTCATGCCAGCACGAACACCCTATCTTTGAAACAAAGAGGCCCGTGCTCCAAAATAACTGACCTCCTCCTACGCACCTTGTCAAAAATTCCATTCTCTTAATGTTATCATAGAAAGCAAGCTGATGAAACTTTAAGGAACTGTCAGAACTCTCCCAGTATGGCATTCGTGTTATTTTTATATGCAGTATGGGACTACACATGGCACTGCTACATTTTAAAATGTATCACTGAGAAAACAAATGTATTTCTGTAACATATTCAGTTTTCTGCCCCAACTCCCACCATGTTGTTCAAGAGAGAGGAGCCCCTCAGAAGGGCTCAGTGACTCCTGCTTTTGGGGCTTCACACCCTGGGCAATTCCTGCTCCCAAGTGTGGCTGGATCTCGTGGCTTGCTTCTGATAAGAATGCAGCAATGATGTGATGCCACTTCCAAGATTAGGTCACCAAGAGACTGTAGGTTTCATGCAGCATGTCCCTCTGGCTGTCTCCCTTGTCCATCTGGCCAGCTTCCCTAATGAGGGGGCCCATGGAGTCAGGAAAGGAGCTCTCTGGGTAACAGCCAGTGAGGACTAGAGGCTCACCAATAGCCAGGTGAGTGAGCTTGGAGGTGACCCTCCCATAGTTGACCACTGAGAGGACCACAGCCTGTGCTAACACCGTGACAGACCTGGAAGAAGACTTGATCTGATGACCCAGCTGAACCACACCCAGATTCCCGACCCACAGAAGCCATGGCATAATCAAAGTCTGGTGTTAGAAGTCACTAAACTTCAGGTAATGTGCATACAGCAATGGATCACTGCTGACCCTCTCCATCACAATTTCTGAGACTCTCTCGAGACCTGTGCACCACAGACGCTTGACCTCTGTCACGCCACTTCTCTTTGAGTCAGGGGAAGGCGAAGATAATCGGTCACCACATCCCTTCTCCACTCTCCAGACAGCCAAGGCAAATCTATCTGTCCTAGGAGCTGACTGTGTGAAGGGAGCAACCACCTGCACCCTCCTCACCCAATGAGGCCCAGAATCTGCTTCCTGCAGCCTCCATCCCCCATATTTTCAGGTTTTCCTCTGGGGCCCAATGACACTGCAATAGGAAAAATACAAAAGGAATTGGCTTTTGAATAAAACCCTAGCAGCAAAATATTTCTCATTTCACTGTCTGTGAAACTCCTGTCTGTGCTTCTTATTTTATGCATATTCTTTTATTTCATTTGTACTCAGCTTCCATCACATCTTACTTTCAGGATTTTATCTGTGCTCCCTTCAGAAATACTTAACTGTTTCTCTAGGAAGTCTACAATAGTTTCCTCCTATCAGGATGTTTTTTTAACTGACAGGGAGAGAGCAATAAAAGACTGGCTTCCTTAATTCTTCCAGCATTCTATTTTTGTTTAACAAGTGTATATTTTCACTGGGAGGTTGGGTTGCCCCAAAACGAGAAGTGGCTCAAAATTCAAAATTTTCTGAACATAAACATAACACCACAGGCAGAAAATTCCACACCTGACTTCATATGATGGGTCACAGCCAAAGCACAGGCACACAAAACACAACTGAATAGCATGTGCAGGGAAAACCCTCCCGGCCCTCTTTGGCTGTGATGATACCTTTCCGTCAACAACCACAGGTTGTCCATATGAGTAACAGAGCTAGTGAGATCTTTGCTTTTTTATGATTCGATGCGCACAGTTTGTTTCATGGACAAAATTATTAAAATATTGTACAAAATTACCTTTAGGATATTTGTATAAAGTATATGGAATGAACTTTCTTTAGGCTTGGACCTCATCCCTAAGATACCTCATTATATAAAAGTATTCAAAAATCTGAAAAACTTGAAATCTGAAATACTGGTCTTGAGAATTTTAGTCAACCTATATTATTCTGCTCTTACTCAAAGTGGACCTAATTCTGATCGAGGAAAGGAAGAAGAGCAAAATCAATCATGGAAGCCAAATCTCACATCTAGACAAGGCGTTAGGCTAGGAAACTGCCTCCACATCCTCTTGAGCTCAGCAGCCAGGCAGACCGGTGCCTCCCTGAGAGTGGCTGTCCACTTCAGGGACTCCTCAAGGGAAGACTCGGTTACCTCCAGGCATTGGCAAGCAGGACAAAACAGGACAGGAACTTCTTAAAGCTGGGTTAGTGTGAGACAAAGCCTCCCCAAAGAATTAGCTTTGCTCATTTCTTTCACTGTAAAAGACATGTGAGTTGAAAGCATAGTGCAAGATCTTTTATAAATTAGTGATTTAAAAATACACTTTTATTAATATCCTGGCTCTATTTTTATATAAATTTGGTGACCTTGAGTAGATTAGTTAATTCACTGAGTCTTCATTTCCACATCCCCAAAATTAGATTTTATAGAGGCTAACACATACTAGGTACCATTAGATGGCACTGATTATGATCATCATCTATCGAAAGTAAATGATTAACTACAGTTGGGATCTAATCTTTTGAATGATGCATAACAATAAAAATTTCTGTGACAATGGGAATGGTTAATAACCTGTGAAGGTAATAAGAGTATAAGAATTAAATTATTACCAAATTCTAAGTATTGAACAAGAGGTTACCTGTATTGACATTGTATGAAACATAAGCTGTCTCTTACCTGTTTATAGTTCACCTTCTCATTTCCTAGGCACTTTTTTTTTTTTTTTTGGAACCAGGGATCAAACTCAGGACCTTGCATTTTCTAGGCAGGCATGGTGCCACTGAGCTAAATCCCCGGCTCCTAGACACTTATTATATGGCAAGCTAAATACTAGAATGCAAAGTTAAACACAGCCTTTGACCTTATTCTTCATTCTAATCAGGGTTAGAGATGCAAGTAAACAATTGTGGTGCAGGGTCTACAACAACATAAGCATCTGTAATCAACTGCAGCTTTTAGATTGTGAGCAAAAAGATTTCACGGAGCAGGAGGCAACTAAGTAAAGTTGTAAGGGCTTGTGTCGAACTTGTCTTTTACAAAGTATGTAAGAGAAGGAAAAGGAATGATTGTTAACAGTACTGAAACTTTGCTAAACTTCCTTTACTGAAAGGAAGACTTAGTTTTAAGTTTCTAAACCACAGTGAGGTTTTGGGGGTGGGGTGGGGGGAAGGGCTAAATAAGTTAGATTGTTATGGGTTGAATTCTCAACTGCAAATTCCTTATGTTGAAATTCTGACACCCACTGCCTCAGAATTAACTGTATTTGGCTTTTTAAGAAGTAATTAAGGTAAATTAGATCATATGATTCAATATGACTAGTGTCCTTGTAAAAGAAGGGATTGGGACACAAACATACAGAGGGAAAAACAGGTGTAGACACAGTGAGGAGACAGCCAACTGCTAGCTAGGTGAGAGGTGTTAGAAGCAATTAATGCTGCTGACACCTTGATTTTGGACTTCAGCCTCCAGAATTGTAAGAAGACACATTTCTGCTATTAAAGCTATTTGATCTATGATGCAGTACTTTGTTATGGTAGGCCCACACAACAACAACAACAGCAATCAACACAAATCCTATGTTGATTTTCAGAACAATTTTTAGCCATCTAAAGAGATGCTGACCTTTATTTTAAAACTTTCTTGTCTATCTGGGAAGGAAAAGCTCATTGATCCTGTCTTGAATTTGGAAACAAATGTTTTTACCCCAATCTCTTGCCTTGTCCTTAAGAGAAGAACACTAATTTGAGCAAGAAAGGGAAGCCTACCAAGCATTGCTAAGGCCAAGGGTAATTAAAGGAATGTTCTCCAGGCTGTGCACACTCTTTGTTCAATTCTAGAACTTTTCAATGCAGAAAACAAACTACACAGGGTTGGGAATACACTCAAAAAATTGTTTCCACTATCCTCACAGCCCTAGTCTAATCTGGACAGTCACACTGGAACTACTCCTGAGAGGTCACAGAATGGCAAAGGCAAGCAAGATGGTACCATTTCCTATCATGGGATCTCAGGGTGCTAGCACCTTCAGGATCTGAAGGTTCATCTTTTTTTAATATAATTTAAAGTGTGCTTTATTGTTATTTATAACAGCACAAAAATTATGTTTTCCTTTTTGGCTGTCAAATGTTCAAATTCAACATACCAATACTAAATAAGGATGAACTAAATTGACTTTTAGCTTTTATCAGAACACTGCTTGTTGAATCCTATCCTTGAATTTCCTCTTAGAATCTCAAAGAGCTTTCAAGTGTTTGTGTGTTTGCTTGTGTGTGTGTCTACATGCATATGCGTGCAGCTACTTGTGAGATATATTTATTTTTGTATCAAAACAAAAAAAACTAAGGAGAGCTACCTCACATTTTAATGTTTACTAAACATAAGACCTACCATGTTTCAGCTACATTCCTAAAGGGGACCTAGATAGTGAAAAATGAAACATGTTTCTCTATTTGGACGGCTAATAAGCATTTCAACATGTATATGTCAATAATAGATATTGCAATTTTTTTCTCACATCTTCCCTATCTCTCAAAATACTGCAATTTATACAATTTTCAAGCTTCAAGAATAGGATTTGGAGATTCTGTCTTCTTCTCCATATCTCCAGCACTAGTACG